TACGGTCTCATACAGTTGGAAAGGGCTAAGAAAATGGGTATCCACTTATTAAAGTGTCAACCCAAAATTGACGCACGACTTGTGGATGGAACACCGCTGGCAATATGAGAGCGAGTGGAGCACGTCAGTTTCCACTGCGGCGAGCACGTAAAATTTCGGATGGGGCTGCTGGCGTCCACACTCGACGGGTGCGATGTGCTGCTGGGACGGGATTGGCTGCGATAGTACAACCCGAGGATCGACTGGACGACGGGCAGTTGCAGCATCAAAATCGATGGGCACTATCGTGCGTTACCGAGATGGACGGGACCCCGCATGCGAAGTACTCAAGTCCACGCGATAACTTTCAAGTGCGCGATAAAGGCGGGAGCTGCAGCGTACGCCGTTGATCTTCGCGAAGTAACGACTCCGACAACAGCGGAAGATATCGCGAAGCTGTGTGAAGCCGTTCCTCCGGATTTAGCGGACCTGATTCAAAAATACCCCGAGATTTTCCCAGACGACCTACCTGCGGGACTTCCGCTAAGCCGACCCGAAGACCATCGCATCGAGCTGGAACCAGGCGCAACCGACAGTACAGCGACAATTTCGGCTCAGCCAACCGGAACTCGAAGAATTGCAGCAGTAGCTAGATTACCTCCTGACGAAGGGTTTTATCCGACCCAGCACGTCCCCTTACGCCGCCCCCATACTGTTCACGCCGAAAAAAGATGGCGGATTCCGCATGTGCATCGACTACCGCGCCCTCAACAGGGTCATCATCAAGTCGCGTTACCCGATCCCGCGAGCAGACGAACTACTCGACCAACTTCGCGGAGCCAAGTACTTCTCGAAAATCGATTTGCGAGGGGGTTACCACCAAATTCGCGTCGCCGCCGAAGACTGTCACAAAACCGCCTTCCGAACCCGCTACGAAAGTTACGAATACCTGGTGATGCCTTTTGGCCTTACGAACGCGCCTTCAACGTTCCAGATGACCATGAACGGCATTTTCAGGGAGCTCTTGGATAAATGTGTTATTATCTACCTCGACGACATACTAATCTACAGCCGCAGCCGGGAGCAGCACTTACGAGATCTTGATGCAGTCTTCACGCTGTTGCACAAGAATCGCTTCTTCACGAAAGGGTCTAAGTGCGACTTTCTTAAGCAGGAGTTGGAGTTTTGGGCCACGTCGTTTCTACCGAAGGAGTGAAAATCGACCTCAAGAAAATCAATACCATACAGGAATGGAAGCCGCCGACCAACCTCAAAGAACTACAGAGTTTTCTGGGCTTCGTCAACTACGTCCGCCGTTTTATCCCAAATATGGTAGGGTTATCGGCCCCGCTAACCGACCGTCTGAAGGATCACGACTGTTTTTGGTGGGGAGAGAAGCAGCAAGCTGCATTCGACCAACTCAAAATCGCCCCCACGTCGCCGCCCGTCCTTCGCATCTCTGATAACGACCATCCATACAAAGTCGTCACCGACGCCAGCGACATCGCCATCGGTGCAGTTCTCCTACAGGATTTCGGCGACGGGTTACAGCCAATCGCCTACGAATCACGAAAGCTGCAGGGCGCAGAGAAGAACTATACAGTGCACGATAAAGAAATGTTGGCGATCGTCCACGCGTTCAAAACCTGGCGGTGCTACCTGACAGGCGCTGACGTCACAGTACGAACTGACCACAAGTCCTTACAATACCTGCGCGCCCAACCGAATCTCAACCCGCGACAGATCCGATGGCTCGATTTCCTCGAGTCGAATTTCCATTACACCATCACCTACAAACGAGGGGCAAATAATCTTGCCGATGCCCTGACTAGCCCCACTGCCCATACTGCCGCTATACTAGTCGCCCAGACAAACCCATTACTAACGGGACTATTCACCCACGGCTACAAGATCGATCCCTTTTTCCGCTCCGCTATCCATCAACAGCATACCACCGCCACCGGACCTTATTTTAATAAGCGCGGTACTTCTCGCCTCTGGGTGCCCGGGTACGATTTACTTCGTACCCTCATAATCCAGGAATCCCACGACAACCCTACCTCCGGACATTTCGGCGTCGACAAAACCTTGAAGATGCTGCAGAGGAATTATTACTGGCCGAACATGGCCGATGACGTGCGCAAGTACGTGTCCTCCTGCACTGCCTGCCAGATTATGAAATCGTCGCATCAGCGAGCAGCCGGACTACTACAGCCGTTGGATCCGCCTGAGCGACCCTGACAACACGTCACGATGGACTACGTGACAGGACTGCCGGCCGGTCCCAGCGGAAACGACGCCATCCTCGGGGTCGTTGACCGACTCACGAAAATGGCGCACTTCATCGCCTGCCAACAGACAATCACAGCCGAACAAACTGCACAACTGTTCCTCGCGAACGTCATCCGACTGCACGGACTGCCCTCCGCCATCATTTCAGACCGAGACCCGAAATTCACATCGAATTTCTAGCGCCACCTGTGGGACCAGTTCAGCACCAAACTCCAATTTTCCTCCGCCTACCACCTACAGACCGACGGGCAGACCGAACGCGTCAACCAGACCATGGAGCAACTCCTTCGAACTACCTGTACTGACCCATCGACATGGGAAAAATCTCTCCCGCTGCTGGAGTTCGCGTATAACAACGCATCCTCCGCCACAACCCATCAGTCCCCGTTTTTCCTCAATTACAGACAGGACCCCGTGGTACCCTCAACCTCGAACATCGAGACACCCGTATCCCGGTCCCGGAAATTTGCTGAAGACATTCTCGCCGCCCGCGAAAAGGCCGCTGAGGCAATCAGGAAAGCCAATATGGTTGCAAGCCGACAAGCGGATCGACATCGACGTGACGTCACTTACAAAGAGGGAGATCTCCTCCTCCTCGACACTCGCAATTTGCGGCTGCCGATCCCGAGCAAACTCCGACCCAGATTCTGCGGACCTTTTCCAGTGACCAACCTGGTGATACCTGTCACTTTTCACCTTCGATTACCGGCTGATTGGCGCCACCACCCGGCCTTCCACGTCAGTCTTCTCCGACCCTACGTCCCGAGTTCGTCGGCCTTGGCACGAAACCGCGGTGTACCACAGCTAGCGCCTTAGCAGGAACCGACGACCGAGCCTTTGAAAATTATGGGACATCGCGTCACAACGCAGCTGAACCGTCGGATGGTTGACTTCCTCGTCCGCTGGCGCGATCGCACGTCCGAAGACGACAGCTGGGTGCCCCTCGCTGACCTAGAATCACATCCAATTCTAACGGCATATTATCAGCGTCGGAATGTCTCCGATGCCCACGGACTCGTTTAGGAGGGCGGGGGGGTAGTGTAAGGAATTGCCATTCCTTTCTGCGTCGACCGCTACCGCGTACACCCGAACATCTCGATTCGTCACGTTCGGCCTTCATTTTCGGCCCAACCCTTTCCCGAGTCGCGTCCGACACTGTCACCATATTGCTGAACCTACTCACGTTCCGAGGTTATCGCCCTAGTACGTCTATTTCTATATAACCTCGTGCTTTCATTGCAATAGCGACCTTGTATTCTCACGTTATAGTACATTTACATCTAAATCATAACACAGAGTGCAGTGCTCCTCCGCACAGCTCAATCTCACTGCCCAGGGCATTTCCCTGGTAACGATGCGCGAGGCATCGCCGCATTCGTTTCGTCGACCCCTTCGCGAGATGCCTCGTCAACAAAATCGAGGGAACGCGGGGTTGTGGGCGGAATGTGGGACAGGGAGAGCAGCAGCACGGCAGCAGCAGCAGCAGCAGGGAAGGGGAGCGGACGACACCTGCAGCTGCCGTAACCACCAGGACTGCCTTGCCCTCGCTGACGGTCAAGCACCCACTCCCCATTCCTCCCCCTTCTCATTCCCTTCCCATCCCCCCACCAGGGCTGTTGATTGGTTTGGGACCAATACTTGGGTGGCTGAGGTCCTCCGAAAACAGCACTGAAATGTGCCCGAACTGTGCCCTGAAGTGTACGGGCTGAGGTCCAAACCAGAACTTAAAATCAGGGCTGCGCCGGAGTCTGTACTTTGCTGGATAGAAAAAAAAAACTTCGTAATCGTACTTAAGGGTAGGAAAGGTGCTGAGTGGGGAGGCCAGCCTATTTTCGCAGGAGAATTTGTGTGCCAAATCTGTTAGTAGTGCACATTTCTCAGTTATTCATAGGTGTCACGGACTTGGCCAATTTCTGGGATGCGGGAGTGTGTGGGAGGGGCTTGTGACTCGCTTTGGAGACGGCCAAAAAAAATATCGGTAGAGATAGGGGAGGGGGAAGTGGGGGTGTGGGAGGAGGGGATTTTGGAGTATTGTCTCAGGCTGTGGGGGCTTCTCAAATTCTCTGGGGGTGCGAGGGGGGTGGGAGGAAGGTCTGCTGGTATGGGGGACTTCATCGATTTTCCTATGTTTGGTTGGGGTGTGGGAAGAATGTCTCTGGTTTGGAGGACTTAGAGGAATTTTCTGGATGGGGATTCTCTGGGGGTGAGAGGGGTGTGGGAGGAATGTCTCCGGTTTGGAGGACAGCCAGATTATACTAGCCGAAGGGGAAGGTGGGGTGGTGTGGCTGGGCAAGGAAGGTATGCCTAGGTCAGGGTGGTCGAGACCCCGTTACGGAAAATCAGGGAAAGGCCTCAACTCCGCCTTGAAGGAATCCGGGAAAGGGCCGAACGAAACCCTTAACCATCACGGGCTAGTCCCGAATAAAATCCGGAAAAGTCGGACGCTGACGGACGGCTTACCCGGAATGTTCAGGGCCTTAAGAGCATTTGCCCTTGAATCGAGAGCCCTGCCCCCCAACCCTTCAGATGGTCCTCGCCTGTGCAGCGCTGTACAGCACAGCCATTCAGAAATCGCAGGTTCAAAATCATTTGTTTCCTGCTCTCGCGCCGCGCCCTTGGCATGACCAACACGCAAATGCAAAACACAGCCTCGGGCTTTGCGCGTGCTCGTCGTCAAGCGCAGCGCAGCGCAACCCGCCGCGTTTTGTTCGTCCATTCACACACTCCTCTGTGGAGCTGCGCCACCACCACCACCACCACAGCACGAATCGAACCACCCTGAACTGAAATAGCTTCACCGTTGAGCAACGGGAGTGTGCCATTCCCCAAACATTCGACTGCCTGCGATTGACATTTTTCGCCTCGCCACACTTGGGCTCTCCGTATTGCGCGCTTCCAATAAACGATATTCCGATTCCTCCTCAGTACAACACTCCGCTATTGTCCCACTTCCGTCGAACCGCTTTCTCCGCCAGAAAGAGCGGCTGAAACGACGACCGTAGAATTAGGTACTAACTCGTCTGCATTTATTCCGCTCCTGCAGCCTATCGGAACGCATCCTCGTTTATCCCAGCTTACTCCACCTCGCGGGGGGTCCTACGACACCTATCGTGGCCGCTGACCGTTCGTTCATCTCTCCCCATCCCTGCGCGCCTTTCCCCGTCCTAACACCCCTCTTGCTCCTCGTCCCCCCCCGTGCTCCCCCTTTTCGCGCACCTCCCTTCGTGCCCGCCCCCCCCAGGCGCCTAAGAAGTCCTCTCGTCGCGTGTTCTGCAGAACGTGGTGCTTGCGCCTTCCAGGAGGGCTTTCCGACCTCCCCAAGGGTAGTCTAGTCTTCTCCTTAGCTTAGAGCAGTTTTCACCCGCTAGAGCGAACGCGATGGTGGTGCCGCTGTTGCCCATCGCCTTGAGTCAGCTGCTGCTGCTCCTGCTGCTCTCCTCCTCGCACAACGCGCTGCACGCTGCTGCTGCGCCGACCTTCCACCCATCGCAAGGTATCGTTCGCTTCACTCCCCTCCTCCCCCTCCTCCCCCGCCCCCCCGCCTGCCCCCTCTCCGTTCTCCCGCTCCCCTCGACGTCTCCCTCTCGCTTTCTGCTCCTTACTCCTCCTCCCGTCCTCGTTGCCTCCCCCTGGCCCCCGTTGCCCCCCCAACTCCACCCCTGCCGTTCCCCTGCCTCGCAGCGCTTTCATCCCTGATTTCTCCGCCCCAACTCCTCCCTCCCTATTTTCGTCCCCCCTCTGCCATTTCCTTTCCCCCCTCTCCCTCTCATTCCGCATTCTCATTGCCCCGTCCACCTCTCCACCACGCCCCCTCCTGCCCTTCCCCTCCCCTCCCCCAGGCTCCGTGCTGAGCGCGCTGAAGTCCGCGTGCGGGCTGACCTACACGGCATGGGCGGAGGGCGCCGACTGCGCCAATGCACGGGGGCTAACGTGCGACGCCAGCGGAATGGTGCAGAGCATGTGAGCGCACAGGGCGCGGTAGGGGAGGCAAGCAATAAGGGAGGGGAGGAGGGATGAGCACATGCTTTTCTCTTCTTTGTTTCTTCCTTGGCGGGTGCATTTTCCGATCCGGTGCCTTCTTTTCGGGCGTGGTAACTGCTCGGTTCACCACCGAATTAGCATTTCCTTGTGCTCGCGCGGTCTTCCCTGCCGTTGCATTTCCATCTCCCCACCTTTGCTCTCCTCGTCTCCACTCTACTCTACTCCCTTACCCGTTTCCCACGCCCTGGGCTGCCTTCCTGGGTGCTCTCCCACTTTCTCACACCCTTATTTTTTTAAAATCACTTCCTCTCTCTCACTTCCTCCCTCTCACTTGTTCTCCCTCACTCCCTCTCTCTCCCCCCCTCGATTTGTCGTCTCACCAGGTCTCTGTGGAATAGGGGCATGGAGTGTGTCCTTCCCCCTTACATCAGCAACCTCACTGCCCTCACGTACCTGTATGCACCCACCCTCCCTCCCTCACTCACTCACTCACTCACTCACTCACGCACTCACTCACTCACGCACTCACTCACTCGCTCGTGCTCACATGATCCCGCGCACTCTCACTCGCTGTCGCTCTTTGGCATGCGGGGGGACGACGCATGCATTGCTCGTTAATCCTCACTGCTTCCTCCCTTTCTTCTTCAAACACTACACATCTGACATGTCTGGCATGGAAAGTCATCGCCAGTAGAGGTCCACAAGCCCCCTCCCCCCCTCCCCTCCTTCCCCCCTCCCCCCCTCCCCCCTTTCCTCCCACCCCCTTGTTTCTGTTTCCACAGCAACCTGAGCAGCAACACTCTGATTGGCCACCTGCCTTCCTCCATCGGCAATCTGCGCAAGCTCAAGTACCTGTGAGCTCATCCGCGCTCTCTCTCACTCTATTCCCGAATTCCCCTCTCCTCTCCTCTCACCCTCACGCTATGTTCACACCCTTTCCTTATCCCTTGTGTGAACCGCACATTGAACCGCCACACATGGCATCTTCTGTCACCCGTACTCACTGCTCTACCGTCTCGCGTGCATTCTTTGTGCATGTGCTCGCGTGCGTGCGTGCGTGTGTGCATCACATTGCGTGGTATGCGCTCAGAGATCTGAGTGTGAACAGGATAACCGGCAGCATACCAGCAGAGATTGGCGACCTCTCCAGCCTTCTCTCCTTGTGAGTCAACTGCAAGCTACAGCTGCAGAGCGCGTATTACATACGAACCAACTACCACCAGGAGCTTTGCTGCGATAGAAGTGCTGCCTTGCTGAAGCCGCTTGATCTCAGCTCCTCTTCTCTATCTCTCTGCAGTGCAGGGCTTTCCTTGCTCCTTTCTTCTCAAATTGAATATTGACCTCAGTTGCTCCGGACTACTGTGGGAGTCATTTCTTCCGCCGTTCCTCCTTCCCCCCATTCGTATGCGTTCCGTCCCGCTCCCCCCACCTCCTATCCCCCGCCCCCCCTCCCTCGCCCCCCCTTCTTTGGTACAGTGACATGCGATACAATCAACTATCCGGCTTGATCCCCACCACCTTGGGCCTCCTCTCCAATCTGACTTACCTGTCAGTCTCACACGCATGCGCCTCTTGCTCCTCCTCCCACCTTTACTTGCCCATCTCACTCACTGCCATCCCGATACGCCACTGCTCTCCATTGCATCACCAGCAACAAGCACTTCGATTACAAGCACTTCCATTCCACGCACTTCCACGTCCTTGCCTCATCCCTTCACCCCCCCCCCCCCCCCTGCCTCTCTCTCCTCTTTCCCACCCCCCTCCACACACTTCCTCTCCCTGTTTCAATCACAGCGACCTGGGGTCCACACGTGAGTCGCAGTCCAGCAGCGCCATGGTCAACCAGCTCTCTGGACCCCTCCCTCCCAACCTCGGCACTCTCCGCAACCTCTCCTTTCTGTACGCTCACACTCGCTCACTCACTCACTCACTCACTCACTCACTCTTTGCTGCTTATTCTCCCTCCCCCGTCCTCCATGCCGTAGCCTCTCACTCAGCTACTCCCAACGTCCCCCAATCTTCCCTCGGTTCGCTTTCCTGAACCCTCCTCTTCTCTCCTAACCTCCCTCTTCTTCCCCCCCTCTCCCCCCCACTGCCCCCCCATGTCGCCCCTGTACCCCTCCCTGTCCCTGTGTGCAGCGGGCTGAGTTCCAATGTGCTCAACGGCTCCATACCAGCCAGCCTCGGCAGTCTTGCGAGCCTCACATACCTGTCAGTACCTCCCGCTCTCTGCCCCATGCCCCATGCCCCATGCCCCATGCCCCATGCCCCATGCCCCATGCCCCTCTTGGCCACCACTGCCCTCGTTTGCCGCTTGCTGCTCTGCTCTATTCTGCACCACATTTTGCCCTCGGGCCTGCCTCTCGGTTCCTTCTTGTCGCATTCAATTCAACCCTCCTGACTACGGCAAGCACCCTGCCTGCTCGCTTGTCACATCTCGTCTCGATAAATGACGATTTACACCTAAAAAATACAGAGTCTTGTGCAAAGGCGCAGCCAGCACTCGGATTCTCCTCATCACAGTCATTAGAATTCGGATTCTCCCTTCTCCTTCCCTCCCACTTCCGGCTGCGTCCGTATCTCCAGAGACCTGAGCAACAACCAGCTGAATGGCTCCATCCCAGCGGCTATCGGGCGAATGCGCAGCCTGAAAGTAGTGTGAGTGCAGGGGGGCGGTGAGTGCAGGGGGGCGGTGAGTGCAGGGGGGCGGTGAGTGCACGGAAGAGGTGAGTGCAGTGGGGTGGTGAGAAAGCTGTTGCAAGGATGCAATGTCAATAATGTCATAGCCTGTAGTCGGTTGGCTTGGCCATTGCCGGTGCATCCTCACTACTATTTGTTGGACCGACTTTTGTCCGACTTTTTCCTCCCTGCTTACCCTTCTTCCCCTCACCATCACCACTCTCTCTCTGTCCGGCCCTCCTCTCCACTCCTCTATTCTTTAGGCGCCTCAATAATAATCTCCTCACCACTCCCTCTCCATCCGGCCCTCCTCTCCACTCCTTGCTCCCCCCCCCTCCTTGCTGCCTTGTTGCAGTGACCTGAGCTACAACTTCCTCTCTGGCCCCATTCCCTCGTCCTTTGGACTGCTCTCCAATGTCTCCTTTCTGTGAGTCGTGCTGCGCTGTGCTGTGCTGTGCTGTGCTGTCCTGTGCGGTGCGGTGCTGTGCTGTGCTGTGCTGCGCTGGGCTGGGCTGTGCTGTGCTGTGCTGTGCTGTGCTGTGCCGTGCTGTGCTGTGCTGTGCTGTGCTGTGCTGTGCTGTGCTGTGCGGTGCTGTGCTGTGCTGTGCTGTCCTAGAAGAAACTGATGTAACGCCTCTCTCTCTCCGTCCGCCCGCCCACACACACCCACTCACGCGACTACGGACACCCTCTCACTCACCTACGCACACCCTCTCACTCGCCCTCACACATCCTCTCACTCCCCATTCTCCTCCCACTTCCCCCCCGCTCTCCCGCGCTCTCTCCCCTCTCTCCCTCCTCCCAGCAAGCTCGCTTCCAATGCTCTCAACGGCTCCCTGCCCCCGCCCCTCTTCAACTTGACACGCCTAGTGCATCTGTAAGGGAACGTTCTTACGGGCAGGTGCAACGTTCTTTTGGGCAAGGGTTTCAAAGGGCAAGTTCTTTCCAGGGATAGTGTTAAGTGCAAGGGTTCCCACTGCATTCACACAGTGCTTAGTGCTGATCCTGGAAGATAGGCAGGTGCATTCACACTGTGATTGTAATTTAATTTGCTTGCCCTTTCCCTCTTCTCAGCCTCCCTCGTTCTCCCTACATCTCTTCCCTCTTCCTCCCACTTCATCTCTTCCCTCTTCCTCCCACTTCATCTCTTCCCTCTTCCTCCCACTTCTTCTCTTCCCCTTCCTCACCCCCTCTCTCCCTCCCACTCCCCTTCCATCTCTCTGCCCCCCGTCCCGCTGCATGCACCACCAGGGACGTGGGTTCGGTGCGGAAACTGTACTACGATGCGAGTCAGAAGAACCAGATACAGGGGCCTCTGCCCGACACCATTGGCAACCTCACTGCACTCACTGCATTGTCAGTCATTCCACACCATGCCATGCCATGCGGTGTTGTGCCATGCCATGCCGTGCCGTGCCGTGCTGTGTTACACCGCATTTTCAGCTGTGTTACCTGTGCCATGCCATGCCTTTCGTAGCTGGCCGCACACATGCTGTGCCGCACACATGCTATGCCGCACACATGCTGTGCCGCACACATGCTATGCTGCACACATGCTATGCCGCACACATGCTATGCCGCACACCTGATCTCAACCCATGCATGCCCATCCCATGCATCCCTCCCTTGTCCTGCCCAGCGGCATGAGCAACAACCTTCTCTCGGGCGCCATCCCTTCCTCCATCGGCAGACTGCTCTCCCTCGTCTACCTGTCAGCTCTTACCCGACCCTACATCCATCGCTTCTTCATCCAGGCTATGCTTCTGCATCTTTTGCTGCTCCACTGCCTCCTACCTTTCACCGGATTTTCTTGTCTCTTGTTTGCCATACGCATGGGAAGGGCACACGTGCTTGTACATCAGACATCTAATCTTTTTTTTTCTCTCTCTCCCGCTTTTGTTTTCCCTCAATCACTCACATCACTCCCGTTGCTATTCTGTCCCTCCTCACCCTCGCCTCCTCCTGCCATTCTCACCGCTGTTGCAACTTGCAGCGACCTGCAGCAGAGCAGCGCGCTCAGGTGTTGAGTCTCGTATGACCCCCCTCCGTGCCATTCTCCCCCCCTCCCCCCCCCCCCCCCCGTTGACTGGTGCTGTTGTTGGTGCAGCGACCTGCACAACAACATGTTCAATGGGTCCATTCCCGACACCATCGGCAACCTCGTGAAGCTCAAAACGCTGTGAGCACATCATGCTGCTGCTGCTGCTGCTGCTGCTGCTGCTGCTGCTAGTGCACGCCACGCAACCGTGCAGCCATGCACTGATGCACTGAGTACCTACCGAGGCACCCATGCGCCATCGCACCCAAGCACTCACTGTGTTGAACGAGCGTGTCACACCCTGGGGAAGCCATTCCGCTCCTCGGAACTCCCTCGCTGTGCAACTGCGTCCCACTCACACCATCGTACCACATCTCGCCCGGTACACATCTCCCCCCACGCCCCACACTCACTCCCTCGCGCATCTCACCCCCCACCTCCCTCTCCCCCGCCCCCTGCCAGCTTTCTGGGTGGCAACGAGCTGTCTGGCTCGCTCCCCGCATCCATAGGCAATCTCACCAACCTGCAAGTCCTGTGCGTTCCTGCTCAGTGGGGGGTAACGAGGGGGGGATGGGGGGAACGGGGGGAACGGGGGGAACAGGGGGAACGGGGGGAACGGGTGTAAGGGCAGCACTAGTAGGGAGTTGGCTCGAGGAGGGATGGGATGCAGAGAGGAGAGGTTTATTGGGGGTGTGGGGAAAGGGTGTCACATTCTCCTCTCTTCTACCCCTCCCCACCTCTCCCTCGCTCCCCTCCCGCCCGCTTGTTGATCTGACTGTCAATCGTGCACAACACTACTGGGGTTACCCTCTTCACTCTTTGCCCGCTGTGCCTTCTGTGCATCATCACATCGCACATGGTGCACTTCCGATTTGACATGAAAGTCACGTGCCAGACCATCCACCCTCTCCTCATGGTCCCATGTGCTGCTCCGCCCTGCACCGTCCCCCCCCATGTGCTGCTCCGCCCTGCACCGTCCCCGCATCATCCACAGTGCGCTGCGCAGCAACGACCTCGGCGGCTCGCTCCCCAGCTCCATCGGCAGCCTTGGAAGCCTTGAGGAGCTGTGAGCCTCCTCTGCGCTCTCCCTCCCTTCGTCCGCACCTTGTTCTCTACCCCTTCTCTGTCTCCTGCCTTTCCATGCAGCGGCTTGGATGCAATCCAGCTGCGTTCTTTCCCTAGTAAATGCTGCCCTCACGGCAGTTGATTCCTTCCCATTCCGCTGTTGGATTCTGCCTTTTGTTCCACTTTCCAGCTGCCTTCCCTTCAACCTTTTGTTCTCGTTCTTTCCGTTCCCTGCAGGGAGCTGCGCAACAACAGCATACAAGGCCCCTTGCCTCCCACTCTAGGCAACCTGATCACCCTCTACTCTATGTATTTAGATCCACCCTGACTCTTACATTGCTTGTTGTCAAGCAAGAGAAACATGTTTCACGTACAGCATGAAGCCATAGTTACCGCAGCTGCTATATATCGGCACCAATCTGCCATTTCACAACTGCCTCTGCCATGCCTTGGCTCTCTGGTCTCTCTGTTCCCTTTCCCCTTTCCCCCTCTCCTCTCTAACCACCATGCCCCTCCCTTCCCCTCCCCCCCTCCCCCCCTCCCCTCACCTCCTCTAACAAATGTGTTTCAGGGGCATGGACAAGGCAGTCCAGTGTCCCAACACAGACAAGTGCGATGTGAAGCAGTATCTTGGATCGGAGTTCTGCGATCGGTGCATGAAATTCTGCACAATTTGCCCACAGTGTAAGTGCAGTGCAACGCACTTACCTCTTCTCGCTTTCCTGCTCGCCTCTGCTCCTTCCCACTTCCCCCCTCCTCCCTCCCCTCCTTCCCCCCCATTTTTCCTCTCCACATATGACACTCATTGCATAAATATGTCTTCCCTTTTATGGCTAACATTAAAACCTTTCTTGACCACTGTATTTACCCCTCTTCTTGCAGACTCTAATGAAGGGAGCCAGCTTCAAGCATTTCTTCTGTTCACAGGCACACTAGTTCTTACACTTTTCCTAATGTTATTGTAATCGCCGGTGGATTGTTGAGGCTGGTTACAGATTCGCACATGGTTTGTGGCATCAAAATTCTCGCAGAAAGTGATTAGGTTCGGTAGTCGTCCCGTGTGGGCTGAATAATTTAGTACTTTGGCCTACCACAGGCCCTTTCGAGCCCAGTACATGTGGTTTTGTCTTAATAGCATGATTTAACAAAAAAAGATAGGGCTCTAAGAAATTATATCGTGACACTATGAAATATGAAGTGTACCTAAGCTTCATATCTCGTACAACGTGGTGTGGTCGTCTTTCGGAGTCTTGGGATTTCCTCAAGTTCCTTTCCATTCACGCGGCGCTGCTGGTTCACTCACTGCCCTGCCCTTGCTTCCCTTAGCTCTGCTTTGCATCCTGCTCATTGCTCAACCTTGCTCAACCCAGGACGTGGTTCGCAACACCAGGTTCGAACGGGGTTCAACACTTGAATGAGCAAGGATACCACGTGATACCTCGTGGAACCGTTATGGTTACGTCCGTACCACCTTTCACCCACCTTGAACCAGAGGTTTCGAGATTCTTCTTTTCTCCCAAAAGCACCACGTCCTTATCAGCTGTGCCATGTAAGCAGCAGCCAGCACCACAGATGTCTGCCTGCCCTCACACACCAAGAAAATATTTGCCGCACCTCAGCACCACGCCTCGCGGGCCCGCCCGGCCGTGAGGCAACTGCTTCATGGAGAAGGCCGTTCATAGAAATTCTCCAAAACACCCTGCAATTTTCAGAGCCGCCATGTGTCATGCTGTCAGTGCGCGAGGATGCACAGCACACACGCGGCGCGTGACGGGTGATTCGGGATTTGGCACCTTTCTACGACGACGAACCTGCGAGCGGCGTGCGAGGGCGTGGAGCGCATGCTCTCGCGCACAGTAGATTGCTGCAGTCGAGTCACCTAAGTTCACCCAGCGCACCCAGTGCACCCAAGTATGACTCAGCTCTTAGCTCGAGTCAGACCGGCGCACGGAGGAGCCAGCGCTTACTACTACCTCCACACTAAGCTCCACTTAGCCCCGCTTAGCTCAGCTTAGCTCAGCTAAGCGCAGCAGGATGGGATCATCCCGTCCAGCACAGAGCGAGGTCAGCCAGTCGTCTCCGCAGCATGAACGGGATGATTCACACAGCACGCGCGCGGCGTGGTGCCGCGCCGCGAGACGCAAGAGCAGTTCGGAGCCGCGCCGAGGCGGCAGCGCTGAGGAGCACTCTGCGCAGCCGGCGACCTTTTCCCGAGTCGGCGCCGGCGCATCGAGGAAAGGCGGTCGTTCTTGAGGCTCGGAGAACGGAACCGCTGCAGGAGAAGAGGCTTCGACTCGAAACTGGAACCCCCTGTCTCGCAACCCCCATCCGCGCCGCGGCGCTCTTGGTAACGGTGTTGATCATGGCGAAGGCTCGTTTAAAGAAGTGATATTGGCGAGCGATGGGAACACACGATCGGAGTGAAGCTTGCAAGAGCAGCGCCGCTGATACTCTTGGAACCGTAGATACTCTCTTGGAGTACCTAGAGTCCACTTGACTCAGAGTCACACGGTGTGAGCTGCCTGACATGGTCCTTGTCCTATACAAATCTTCGTATCGTCATCCGAGTCCAGTCCGCGCCTTCATATCATACTAGTAATAGTAGTAGTAGTAGCCGCGTTTGAGTCGACTCAATAGTAGCTGTGGCTGTGGCTGTGCGTCGTCGACGAGATCAGAGCATCAGGCCGTAGCTACGTACGTGGTGACTTCTTGGAGCCGATAAAGGAGATGGAACAGTGGAGGTCGCTGCTGGTTACGCTGGCTGTTGTCGCCTTGCTTGGGTTACATGACCGATTCGTTCGCCTGGCGGGCTCCGTCTTGATTTTTGAGGAGTCTCAAGGTACTGTGCTGCTCGGTGCTGCTCGTTGCTGCTCGGTGCTACTCGTTGCTGCTCGTTGCTGCTCGGTGCTACTCGTTGCTGCTCGTTGCTGCTCGGTGCTACTCGTTGCTGCTCGTTGCTGCTCGGCGCTACTCGTTGCTGCTCGTTGCTGCTCGGCGCTACTCGTTGCTGCTCGTTGCAACTGTGCTGCTCGGTGCTGCTCGCTGCTGTCCTCTCATGACCATGCCTCCAACGTTTGAGTCCGCTCAGCAGTCACCTCTGTTCCTTGCTGTCCTCTCGAGTCCCCATGTCTAATAAGGCCGCACAAAAAGATGGAACTCTGGTTCGAGGGTACACCGGAGCAGCACGCCAAAATACACCAACTGTATATGAGCCTGGTTCAAGTTTACCTGGCGCATGCGTATGCTACCTTGTTATTGATACCATACCATCTTGGCGTGGAGTGGCATGGTGGCATGATGGCATGATGGCATGGTGGCATGGTGGCATGGTGGCATGGTGGCACGGTGGCATGGGCATGGTGGCATGGTGGCATGGTGGCATGGGCATGGTGGTATGGTGGCATGGGCATGGAATGGTAGCAGGGAGCGCGCTGGACAAGGTGCGGCAGGAGTGGGGGCTGACTTATGAGGAGTGGAAGGTTGGGGGCGACTGCGACAGGGCGCCCGGCCTGTCGTGCGATGAGGACGGCTTCGTGGTTTTCTTGTGCGTGCTTGGTGTACTGGGGCATGTACTGGGGCATGTACTGGGGCATCGTTGTGCTGCAAAGCGTCAAAGCTGCAAAGTTCCCCTTCTCTCTCCCTCCAACACACACACTCTCTCTCGCATCTCCCCCCCCCCAATCCAACCCCCCCACCCCCCCCCCTCCCTCGGTGCACAGTTACATGAATGCCGGCATAACCGGCACCATTCCCGCTGCTCTCGGTGCTCTCACCCGCCTCCGCTTCCTGTGAGTCCCCTCCTGCTCTTCCCCCTTCCTTTGCCTTCCCCACTGCCTCTCTCTTGATCTCTTTTATGAGACACCGAGCAACAGTCAGTCCCCTCCTTGAGAACGTAAGGAAGCCTGCTGCGGCGTCTATCTTCCTCAGGTGCCGCAAGATTGTCAATTGCTTGCCATTGATCACTTGCCTTCTGTCCGTTGCTTGCCGTTATCGACCATGCATACATCTGTGTGTGCTTGCTTGCTTGCACCACATGTTATGTGGTGCATCACCACGGCCTGTTACCATCACATGCATCCCGTGAGGTAGCAATTGGAAGCTTATTTCTGCCTTGAATGCCGTGCATGGACATGCTGCATGGACTTGCTGCATGGCATGGCATGGCTAATGGTACGGCGTATGGTGCATGGTGCGTGTGTCATGGGTGGTGCAGGGACATCAGCAACAGCCAGCTGGGTGGAACCATTCCGGATGCCATGAGCGCCCTTGCCAGACTCGCCTACCTGTACGCGCTGCACTTGGTGCCTTTCTGGGAGGGGTTTATTGAGGAAATGGACCAGTGCTGGTTCGAGGGGAAGGATTCTGCAGTGCGTTATCGTGAGGGAGTATTTTCGGTTCCACTCAAAGACGTGGGTTCATTGGTGCATGTGCCAAGGCACCATTGATTTCTAATCTGTGTGGCATGGTTCACAACATGGCATGGCATGGCATGGCATGGCATGGCAGGCGCATGGACTACAACTCTCTGTCTGGCGCCATCCCCCCAGCGCTGTGCGAGCTCACTCTCCTCGAGTACATGTATGCATGCCGCCCATGGGTACAATGTTCACAAACCTGGTGACGTGCACGCTATGGGATGTGGGACGAAAAGGGCTTCTCATGAGCCACGCCCTGGGCTCTTCCGTTGGGTGATCTAAGAGAGCGTGTGCGTGCCCCCTGTGCCCCCTGCTGCAGGTCGCTGCTGCACAACATGCTAGAGGGCACCATCCCCACCGCCATCACCAACCTGTTCCGCCTGAGAGATCTGTAACTAACCGTTCCCCATCCCTCGTTCCGTGCGCGCCTTAACACCGCCTCCCCCTCTGCACCTAACTTGAGAGTGGCAGATACCCACTCCGCGCACCTCTACTCCCCCGCTGCATCCATGCCTACATTACAATTTGCACCCCCCTTCCTCTCCCGTCGCTTTCTGGGGTCCGTTGGTGCGTGCATGCAGTGACCTGGGCAGCAACAAGCTCACAGGCCCACTGCCCAGTGACATCAGCAACCTGGAAGCGCTGCAGACACTGTGAGCGGACGAAAGGGGGAGGAGGGGAGGAAGGGGGGAAGAGTAATAGAGTAGGTATCTGAGAGCACGCATGTAAGGCATGACATGCAACAGGAGTTGTCTGGTGCGGGCAAGAGGTTCAGCCTGGTGCGGGCAAGAGGTTCAGCCTGGTTCCGCGTCCGTCATTAGACCCATCAGCAGAAGAGTTCCTTCCTCATTGCATCTAGCAGTGCTGCGGAGCTTTCTGGCCTCAGGTGGAGCGAGCGAGGCATGGGCCTTCCATCCATCCATCCGTCCATGCTGTGACGAGCCCTCTCAGACAGCCCTAACCCTCCAACTTCTAACGTTGCAATGCGGATGGATGGATGGATGGGCTGTCTGTGCATTGCAATGCGCAGGAAGGTGGCAGGCAATGCACTGGATGGCTCGCTCCCCTCGGCCATCGGCAACCTGCCGTCTCTCCTCCGCCTGTAAGCTGCTTCCGTGCCTGCGTGTCTCACCCCCCAACTGAATGGGCCGGCTGGCAGTACCAGTCCAGATTCAACCTGGTTGCTGTGCTTGTGTGTTGCGGTTCCCAGCAAAGACTCAGCCCAGATATCATTATCTATGGTCCTCTCCCGTTCTATCCCTTGTCCATGAGACCTCTCTCCTTCTCCCCACACCCCCCTCCCCCCCTCCTCCCTCCCTCAGCGATTTGAGTGGCAACAAGTTGATTGGGGAGCTACCGTCTACCATGGGCGGGCTGATGCAGCTGCAATACCTGTCAGTCGCCACCACGGGACGCTTCCCATGCTGCAATTGCCACCTCGCATTTCCCACTACGCATTTACCATGACTTTTGCCCATATGCACTGTATGCCTGTGCTCTGCATGCCTTGTGCTCTGCATGCCTTGTGCTTTGCATGCCTTGTGCTCTGCATGCCTTGTGCTCTGCATGCCTTGTGCTCTGCATGGCTGTGCTCTGCATGCCTTGTGCTCTGCATGCCTTGTGCTCTGCATGCCTGTGCTCTGCATGCCTGTGCTCTGCATGCCTTGTGCTCTGCATGCCTTGTGCTCTGCATGCCTTGTGCTCTGCATGCCTTGTGCACTGCATGCCTTGTGCACTGCACGCCTTGTGCGCTGCACGCCTTGTGCGCTGCATGCCTTGTGCGCTGCATGCCTTGTGCACTGCATGCCTTGTGCACTGCATGCCTTGTGCACTGCATGCCTTGTGCACTGCATGCCTTGTGCACTGCATGCCTTGTGCACTGCATGCCTTGTGCACTGCATGCCTTGTGCACTGCATGCCTTGTGCACTGCATGCCTTGTGCTCTGCATGCCTTGTGCACTGCACGCCTTGTGCACTGCACGCCTTGTGCACTGCATGCCTTCTCATGCCTTGTGCGCTGCATGCCTTGTGCACTGCATGCCTTGTGCACTGCATGACTTGTGCACTGCATGCCTTGTGCACTGCATGCCTTGTGCACTGCATGCCTTGTGCACTGCATGCCTTGTGCACTGCATGCCTTGTGCACTGCATGCCTTGTGCACTGCATGCCTTGTACACTGCATGCCGGTGTAGGGCTGCGCCTGATTTAGCCTTGGCCCCTCTGTCATATTTCCTGCTCCTCCGCCTCTCACTCACCTCGCAACAGCTTGCTGCATTACAACGAATTCACAGGAGCCATTCCAGAATCCATAAAAGACCTCTCCTCCCTCTGCTACCTGTGAGCTCATCCACCCTCCCGTGCCTCTCTACAACATGTTAAAACTTGTTAGTCACTTGCCGTCTCCTCCGCGCTACCACAGTGCGGCCAGTTGCTATGACGACTACGAGACGTGCCGCAACCTTCACGAAGACATGCTTCTCTAAGCCTCCCTCGTTGCCTCCCTCCCTCTCTTTGCTTCCTTCGCCCAGCAGTCGCTGTGCCCTTATCTCTGCATTCCTCTCATCTCCCTTCATGCGTAATTTCTCCACTAGACTCGTTCCTTTCCGTTTCCTTCTCGTTTCTTGCTCTGTTCTGTCCCTTGCATCCTGCAACCCCTCGTTTACCTTTGGTGTGGGAAGCACTTCAAATGTCCCCTCCCTCCCCTGGTCCCCCCCCCTCCCGTGTGTGCTTCCCCCAGCGAGTTGAGTCACAACCAGCTCTCCTCGTCACTGCCCACGTCCCTGGGTCTGCTCCCCTACCTTGCCTACCTGTGGGTTTCCCCAGCGCCTCCCCGCGCCTCCTTCATTTGCCATAGAGTGCTCCCACAGTGCCAACGTCGTCTCTTGATTAGCCCGCAGGTGATTCCAGAGTCGTCGGTTCCCAGTCTTACTGCACGTGATGATTCCAACTTGTGCAAATTCAGCCTTTCTCTCAAGCATTTCTCTCCAGCGCCCTTGGCTTGACCTCCTCTCAGCACCGCAGTAGATCACTCACGCCGTTCCATTCTGCTGCTCCTAAGGGCTCGCTGCCCTCCATCCAAGCCCACGTCGCCAGCGCAGTAGAAGATTCGTGTTGAGACGTTTCAAAACAAATCTTCTCTCACATGCCTAAGGGCTCGCTGCCTTACATACAAAGCCCACGTCTCCAGCACGCTCAACGCCATTGAACGCGCTGCTTGACGGGCGTCTCTTCTCGGCTCCCCCCTTGCGTTCCTAATCCCGCTCATCAGCCTCTCGTGCCATCCCCCTTCGGTTCTGTTGGTCGACCACGTGTCCCACCCCCGCTTATTTTTTATCGGCGCACATGTACATCCCTCCCTGTTCCCCCTCCCTGTTCCGCATTCCCGTTCCGTCCCCTTCCTCCCCCCCTGGCTTACAGGTATCTTGGCAACAACCAGCTGGAAGGACCCTTGCCCTCCACGATTGGCGACCTTAGCAACCTGCAAGTCATGTGAGTGCGCTATGTTCTGTGTGTGTGCATGCGTGCGTGCTTGCCTGATGTCTGCGTATGTGCATGCGTGCATGCATGCGTGTGTGTATGTGTGTGTGTGTGTGTATGTGCATGCGTGTTCAGTCATACCGGTCTCAGTTGTGCGAGGCTCTTAGTTGTTGAGATTGTGAACCCTTGTTCCGTGGTACGCATCATCTTCTGGTGCCTGTGCAGGCACATGCCATCCAATCAGCTCACAGGGCCGCTTCCGGACACCATTGGCCAGCTCACTTCGCTGTCATGGATGTAAGCATGCTGCTATGGGTGCATGCTGCTATGGGTGCATGCTGCTATGGGTGCATGTGCATCACATGGCGTTGCAGAACGAGATCAGCCCCTGAAAACCCCCATGGCATCCAAGTGACAGGAGCGCTCATGCCAAGCCAGCCCGTGCTGCCCATCCTCGTTTCCCCATTCGGGTGTCTTCCCAACCCCCCCAAGCGCGACCGCACGATTCCTTCACATGGCTCTCTAATTTGTGATTTGCCCCTCAGTGCATGTGCATGTGCATGTGCATGTGCATGTGCATGTGCATGTGCATGTGCATGTGCATTTGCATGTGCATGTGCGGTTGATACGCCTGTGTTTCCCCCTCCTGCCTTAAACCTTCAACCTCTGGTGCATGCGTGCATGGTGCATGCGTGCATGGTGCATGGTGCATGGTGCATGGTGCATGGGTGCGTGCAGCCATCTGAGTCACAACCTGATAGACGGGGCCATTCCCAGCACCATCAGCACCCTCACCGACCTGTGCCGCATGTGAGCAGCTGTACCACGTGTTGCCAGCACCCATGTGCTGCCAGCACCCGTGTGTTTCCAGCACCCATGTGTTGCCAGCACCCATGTGTTGTGATGTTCTGACACATCCTTGCAAGAAGCCGCTAGTACAATCAATGCAACTGAACCAGCTGCCAATCCCTTCTTTCCTCTCCACTCCTCCCCTTCCCACCACCCCCCAGCATTCTCAATGCCAATGCGCTCAACCAGCCGGTGCCAGACGTCTTCCAGATGCTCACCAACATCGACACCCTGTAAGTTGAATTGGTTTTTGAGAATTCTAAAAAACACTCCTGCCACCCTCCTGATTCTTCCGCCCTCCCCTGGCATATGTCTCTCCTCAGTTGCTCGTGAGTCCTTGTCACAGCACAACAGTGCAGCCTGGCATAAGCGCTCCGTTGAATGCGCATGTTCGATCCACATGCTTGCATGTGCACATCTGTCCATCCATGCATCACTGCATGTGTGCAGGAGGCTGGAGGAGAATCAACTGCCGGGTTCCATCCCAACCAGCATCGGCAAGATTGAGATCCTCACCTCCCTGTACGCCCCACCTCACCTCACCTCACCTCACCTCACCTCACCTCCTCTCTTGCTACCGCTCCCTCCTCATCGCTACTCACATCCCCCGCATTGCATTGATTGAGGCCCTTTCAATCCCCCTCGTCGCCATCCAATGACGCTTTTCATGCCACGCTCTCCATTCTCATTCTTCTCTTCCCCCACACACCCGTCTTCCTCCCATCACCCCATCACCCCACCATACCATCACCCCATCACCCCATCGCCTGTCCCCTCATCTCCATGCCTGCAGCAACCTCAGCTCCAACAGTCTCGAGGGAACCATCCCATCCTCTCTGGGGACCCTCTCCTATCTCAAATACCTGTCCGTTTCCTTCAAACCCCGTGTTACACACCCCTTGGGATGCACTCCTCGACCCCTTGTTGCTATCATCCCTTCCTTTACTCAATCCCTCTGGCCCTGCTGCACGCCTCCTGCCTACCCCCTTTCTAGAAGCCTTTCACTGCCCTCCCCCTCTTTCCCCTCCAACTCGTCTCCTCACTGCGTGCCCCTCACTGCGTGCTCCTCACTGCGTGCTCCTCACTGCGTGCTCCTCACTGCGTGCTCCTCACTGCGTGCTCCTCACTGCGTGCTCCTCACTGCGTGCTCCTCACTGCGTGCTCCTCACTGCGTGCTCCTCACTGCGTGCTCCTCACTGCGTGCTCCTCACTGCGTGCTCCTCACTGCGTGCTCCTCACTGCGTGCTCCTCACTGCGTGCTCCTCACTGCGTGCTCCTCACTGCGTGCTCCTCACTGCGTGCTCCTCACTGCGTGCTCCTCACTGCGTGCTCCTCACTGCGTGCTCCTCACTGCGTGCTCCTCACTGCGTGCTCCTCACTGCGTGCTCCTCACTGCGTGCTCCTCACTGCGTGCTCCTCACTGCGTGCTCCTCACAGCGTGCTCCTCACAGCGTGCTCCTCACAGCGTGCTCCTCACAGCGTGCTCCTCACAGCGTGCTCCTCACAGCGTGCTCCTCACAGCGTGCTCCTCACAGCGTGCTCCTCACTGCGTGCTCCTCACTGCGTGCTCCTCACTGCGTGCTCCTCACTGCGTGCTCCTCACTGCGTGCTCCTCACTGCGTGCTCCTCGCCGTGTGCTGCTTTCCCCGTGCTCCACCGCGTGCAGGGACCTGCGTCTGAACCAGCTGACAGGAACGGTGCCGGCAACGCTGGGCAGCATCACCGAACTTCAGCTGCTGTGCGTGCATCATGCATCATGCATCATGCATCATGCCACCCCACGCCACGCCACGCCCTCTCTCCCTCCCACTTCACCCCCCCCTGGAAGCAACAGTGTGCGCACATGCTGGCCGATCTCGTACATGCATCTGACTCTATAGTCTTTGTGCAGGACACACATGCTCTGTGCTCGACACACATGCTCTGTGCTCGACACACATGCTCTGTGCTGCCATTGAGTTGCATCCCACCATCCCTGCATACGACCATGACCATGAGGAGTGCATGTGTGCGGTCCTTTTGTCACCACCTGTCAGTTCGGATGCAAGATGCCATGCGTCCGGCAGCTATGGGCAACCAGTGGATAGGGCCCCCATCAGACCTATCATAGCGGCCCACTCCAATTGCCCTCATCACCATTCCCCTTGGTTCTCTCGCCTCCTCCCCTTGTTCTTCCCGTGTGCGTCCAGCTATGTGGACAGTGACGAGGTGACGTGTGGTGCGAGCGGCAGTAGCTGTGAGGTGGAGCAGATCTCTTGGACCGCCTTCTGCCACCTCTGCCCCGACTTCTGCTCCTCCTGCACGCCACCGCCTCCTTCTCCTTCTCCTCCTCCAAGTCAGTTGTCCACTTCCTCCATCCATCGGTCCATCCATCCATCCGTCCGTCCGTCCGTCCGTCCGTCCGTCCATCCATCCATCCATCCATCCGTCCATCCGTCCATCCATCCATCCGTCCATCCGTCCATCCATCCGTCCATCCATCCATCCATCCGTCCGTCCATCCATCCGTCCGTCCGTCCGTCCATCCATCCATCCGTCCATCCGTCCATCCATCCATCCGTCCATCCGTCCATCCATCCGTCCATCCGTCCATCCATCCATCCGTCCATCCATGCATCCATCCATCCATGCATCCATCCATCCATGCATGCATCCATCCATGCATGCATCCATCCATGCATCCATGCATCCATCCCTCCATGCATCCATGCATCCATGCATCCATCCCTCCACTCGTCCAACCATCCATCCGTACCTTGTCCTTATTTTCCTACTCCCATCTCTCTTTTGCCTCTCGCCCTCTCCCTCTCTCCCCCTCTCCGCCATTCCCTTCCCCTCCCCCATCCCCCCAACCCCAGGCAAGCCCAACAAGCCTCCGTGCAAGCCCAAGCGGGCAGCCTGTCCACGCAAGGCGTGTCCCAAGGGCAAGTGGTGCATCCCCTTCGTGCGCAGCTGCAAGGGCTACAAGTGCATGTGATCTCGCATGCGTGCCGCATGCCACCTACTTTTCAGCACTCTTGGTGGTGTGCAGTGCCTGAAGGGTTGAGGTCCTTGAGGTACCGTATGTGAAGTGCCTCGGTGTGGGAAGATTGCTCGTGCCTGAGCCTATTTTTGAGGCGCTGCAAAAATAGGCTGCTCATTCGGCTGGTCGCTCTAGCAGTGTACCCGCTGCAGTGCTGTATAGAGCAGTTGGTTAGTGTCACGTTGTGTTAGGGTTGGCATGTCTGAAGGCTTTTACCGTATGAAGACTATTTGGTGTTTACAGTGCTTGTTGCATTCGTGTCTCTTAGTACATGGATTGGGTACTGTATATATTTTGGAAACCATGCAAGTTACTGAATGTAATAATTTGACAGGTGTTGCAGGAGACTAAGTATAGAATCTGCTAACACGAACACTTGGAAAACCTCATGTTAGCCTAGGATCTTTACTGGAATGGTAGACTAGTACCGTTATCCCCCGTATATAACACCCCGGGTATAATACAAAATTCATGCAAAATCAGGGGGATGGGTGTCAAACATGTGTATTTGTCATGTTTGTATAGACTGTATAGAGTCACCTCTTAGAGGATACAAAACTTAGATATATTTGTGTGTACTCTCACTTTACCATTATTCAATTATTCTGATATGGTATCACGCGTAGGTAGGATCCCCCCCCCCCACCTACCGCTTCCGCTCATGCCCCCTAGCGCCCCTCCTGGGCCCCGTCGCGCTCCTCCCAGGCCCCGTCGCGCTCCTCCCAGGCCCCCTAGCGCCCCTCCTGGGCCCCATCGCGCTCCTCCCAGGCCCCGTAGCGCCCCTCCTGGGCTTCGTAGCGCCCCTGCCAGGCCCCGTCGCGCCCCTCCTGGGCTTCGTAGCGCCCCTGCCAGGCCCCGTCGCGCCCCTCCCAGGCCCCGTCGCGCTCCTCCCAAGCCCACTAGCGCCCCTCCTGGGCCCCGTCGCGCTCCTCCCAGGTCCCGTAGCGCCCCGTCGCGCCCCTCCTGGGCCCCGTAGCGCCCCTCCTGGGCCTCGTCGCGCCCCTCCTGGGCTTCGTAGCGCCCCTCCTGGGCCCTGTACCGCCCTCCCAGGCCCCGTCGCGCCCCTCCCAGGCCCCGTCGCGCCCCTCCCAGGCAACCGTCGCGCTCCTCCCAGGCCCCCTAGCGCCCCTCCTGGGCCCCGTCGCGCTCCTCCCAGGCCTCGTAGCGCCCCTCCTGGGCTCTTTCGCGCCCCTCCTGGGCTCCGTAGCGCCCCTCCTGGGCCCCGTCGCGCCCCTCCTGGGCCCCGTAGCGCCCCTCCTGGGCCCCGTCGCGCCCTCCTTGGGCCCTGTAGCGCCCCTCCTGGGCCCCGTCGCGCCCCTCCCAGGCCCCGTCGCGCCCCTCCCAGGCCCCGTAGCGCCCCTCCTGGGCCTCGTCGCGCCCCTCCTGGGCTTCGTAGCGCCCCTCCTGGGCCCCCCCGTCGTGCCCCTCCTGGGCCCCGTAGCGCCCCTCCTCGGCCGCGTCGTACCCGTCGCCGCCGCCCGGCCCCGTCGTGCCCGCCCGGCGCCGTCGCGCCCGCCCGACCCCGTCGCGCCCGCCCGGCGCCGTCGCCGCCGCCCGGCCCCGTCGCGCCCGCCCGGCGCCGTCGCACCCTGCCCGGCCCGTCGCGCTCGCCCGGCCCCGTCGCAGCCGCCCGGCCCCGTCGCACCCGCCCGGCCCCGTCGCACCCTGCCCGGCCCCGTCACAGCCGCCCGGCCCCGTCGCACCAGCCCGGCCGCCGTCCCGCTCGCCCGGCCCCGTCGCACCGGCCCGGCCCTGCCGCACTCGCCCGGCCCCGTCGCCCCAGCCCAACCCCGTCGCGCCCGCTCGGCCCCGTCGCCCCGTCCCGGCCCTGTCGCATCAGCCCGGCCCCGTCGCGCCCGCCCGGCCCCGTCGGGCCAGCCCCGGCCCCGTCCTCCTCACTGGTACGGTTCCCCCCCCCCCCCCCCCCCCCCCCCCACCCCGCCCTGCTCCGTGCCGCCCTGCACCGCACTGCACCGCACTGTACCGCACTGCACCGCACTGCACCGCACTGCACCGCACTGCACCGCACAGCACCGCACTGCACCGCACTGTACCGCACAGTACCGCACTGCACCGCACTGTATCGCACTGCACCGCACCCCACCTAGCTGCACCGCCCTGCACAGCACTGGACTGTTCCTGATGGCGGCGGAGCTTCGCTTCGACGCTGAAGGTCAGCCCCTAGAGTTCGAGGCGTGGCTTGCCGACCTCCGCCGCCAACTTACTGGCCAGCGGCAGGATGGTGAACCGCTTTCCGCACACCTTGACGGTACGCTCCCCTGCCCAGACCCTCCTGCTATTCTGCCCGCTGACCCCACACCCACTGAGCGTGAGTCTACTGCTGCCACTGCCCGTGCGCACTCTGTCTGGCTTTCTCGCGATGCTGTCGCCCAGCTTGCCATTAGCAACGCCCTCCCCCCGTCCGAGCGTCCTCGCTTTAGGTCCCTCACTACTGCTCAGGCATACTTAGATGCTGTCATCAAGCGCTATTCCACCCCTCCGGCTGCCTCGGTGGGTCGCCTGATCCTCCCGCTGCTCTTTCCTGACCTTGCTTCGTTCCCCACTGTCTCTGACCTCGCTGCCCACCTGCGCTCGATAGAGGAGACCTGGCACGCCGCCTGCACTGACGCACAGCTTAGAGCCCACCAGCCGCCCATTACCTCTACCCTCTACCTGCTTGCCACCCGCCTCCCTGACCGCCTTGCTGTCGCCCGCGACCGCCTCCTTAGTGTTCACCCCGCAGACCTCACCCTCACTGACTTTGTCGACACCCTGACTGTGATAGAGACCCGTCACCGCTCCATCGCCCAGGCGAGCGGTGTCGTGCCGTTCCCTATCTTTCAGGGTTGTGCCCCTGCTCAGTGTACCTTCTCCGACGGCTCTGCCGCAGTGGCTGAGACTGCTGCTGCAGCGCAGGCCCGTTCGGGGAAGGGCCGCCGCCCCAAGGCTGGGCGCGGCGGAGGGGGCGGCGGGGGTGCGGGCGGGGGTAGTGGTGGGGTCGGGTCGCCTGGTGCTGGAGCGGACGAGGGGACCCTGCCCAGTCCAGCTGAGTCGCCGCCCCTGCAGTTGCAGCAGCCGCAGCAGCCGTCGCAGTCGCAGCCTTCGCAGCAGCCGCAGCAGCCGTCGCAGACGCGGCAGACGAGTGTTCTCCCGCCAGGGTGGCCCGGCGCTGGCGGTGGACGGGCGCGTGGTGGTGTGCCGCGAGGTGGCTCTTCCGGCGGGCGTTGTCAGTACCAGATCCAGACCGGTCCTCGCCGCGGTTTCGTTTGCGGTAAGATCGGTCACTCCACTCCCCGCTGCTTTCGTCGCCTGGACGACCTCTTTCGTCAGCGTTTCGGCCCGTCGCCAGACCTCCCGGACTGGCACAGTTTGCTTAGTCGTCAGATTCAGATCTTTGATATGGACATGGATGCCATTGTTTCTGCTCTGCATGTGATGTATGCTGATGACTCTAGTGTGCTTCCGACTTATTACTCACTGTTGCCTAGTGTAGGTGTGCCTAGCTTAGCCCCCCCTGCTGCGTCAGGCGTAGGATCCCCTGCTTTGTGTAGTCTTGGTGCTTCCGCCGTCGTTCCGTCGCCAGACCCCTCGGCTTCGCTTTCCTTCACCTTGGACTCTGGCGCCTCTCGGTGTTTCTTCCGCGACTCCACCACCCTGACGCCGCTTCCTGTTCCTGCTGCCGTTTCTCTTGTTGACCCCTCCTGCGGTCCGGTAGTCGCCCGCAGTTCCACCACCCTTCCCTGTCCGGCGGTTCCTTCGGGCTCTCTTACAGGTCTGCATATCCCCTCGTTCTCCAGGAACCTAGTTGGTGTCGGCTGCCTCCAGGACCTTGGCGTCACCACTACGTTCCCTGGTCACGAGCGGTATGTTGTCTGTACCGAGGCCGCCACTGGTGCCCCCCTGTCCACGTTCCCCCGGGACCCGGTGTCCGGCCTGTTCACTCTGGACACCGTGCCCCCCCCGGCTGGAGCGCCCCCTCAGGTGGCTGTGTCTACCCAGGTTGCTGCTGCCTGCTCCTGTCGCTCCCTCACTCACCCGACCCTCCTGTGGCACCACCGCCTAGGTCACCCTGCGCTCCCGCGTCTGCGTCACATGTCCCAGCACGGTCTTGTCCTTGGTCTCCCAGGTTCGCTCCCCGCGTTTCCCTCCTCCCCAGCTCCACCTTGCACGCCTTGTGTCGAGGGTCGGCTTCGCCGTGCCCCTCACTCCTCCTCGTTCCCCCCTACCGCCGCGCCGCTGCAGACCCTGCACCTGGACGTCTGGGGCCCCGCCCCCGTCCCTGGGCCGCGTCGCGAGCGCTACTTCCTTGTGCTTGTCGACGACTTCACTCGTTACACCACAGTCTTTCCCCTGGAGCGCAAGGCCGACGTGCCTGGCGCCCTCATCCCCTGGCTTGTCTCTGCGCGTGTCCACCGCGGTCTCCCTGTCTTGCGTCTTCACTCAGACCGTGGTGGCGAGTTTGCCTCAGGTGTCCTTGGTCGCTTTTGTCGTGCGGAGGGCATCACCCAGACGTTCACCCTACCGGACTCCCCACAGCAGAATGGGGTCGCTGAGCGACGCATCGGCTTGGTCATGGAGGTCGCTCGCACCTCCATGGTCCATGCCGGTGCACCCCATTTTCTGTGGCCGTTCGCTGTGCGCTACGCTTCTCACCAGCTTAACCTGTGGCCGCACCCTCAGCAGCCGCAGGTTTCGCCGACCCGTCTGTGGACTAGGTCTCCTGGTGACGCGTCTGCGTTCCACGTCTGGGGCTGCCTTGCTCACGTCCGTGCCTCCGGCACGGACAAGCTCACTGCCCGCACCCTTCCCTGCGTCTTCCTCGGTTTTCCCTTGACGCGTCCGACTGGCACTTTTACCACCCGCCGTCTCACCGCTTCTTTCACTCTCGTGACGTCACCTTTGACGAGTCCGTCTCCTACTACCGCCGCTTCCCCCACCGTGGTCCCCCGGTTACCCCCCCCCTGTTCCTGGTCACCCCTTCCCCGGTAGTCCCTGCCCCTCCTCCTCCTCCTCCCCGTCCCGCCCCCTCTGGTGTCTCCCATGTCACCCCCCTTCCGTCCGTGGACCCGGTTGAGGAGTCTTCTGACTCTGGTGGCCCTCCGGTGCAGTCCTCACCGGCCGCCCCTCCCCAGGTGTCCCCTCCCCAGTCCCCTCCTCCGCCGTCCCTGCCGCCACTGCAGCCGTCGCCGTCGCCGCCGCCGCCGCCGCCGCCGCAGTCGCAGCCCCCGTTCGCTGACTCTGGGGGTGCTCGTCCCGGTCGCCCTGAGGGTGGTCCCTCTGGGGGTGCGGGTGTGGAGAGTGCCGGTG